CTTCTATACAGCTTAAAGCGACATTTAAAGGCATAACTAGGTTAATTAGGTTAACTAGGCAGTTTAGGGTAATTAGGCAAGTTATTGTGTAACAATGGTTTGTTCTGCAGACTATCAAAAAATAGCTTAAAGGGGCTAATAATTTTGATCTTAAAATGTTTATATATATATATATTCTAGCCGAAATAAAATGAATAAGACTTTCTACAGAAGAAAAAAATATTATCAGACATGCTTTGAAAATTTCTTTGCTCTATTAAACATCATTTGGGAAATATTTAAAAAAGAAAAAAAAATTCAAAGGGGGCTAATAACTCTGACTTCAACTGCATATATATATTTTTTTTTTTCCACAAACCACATCTCGTAAAACTTGAATTCTGTTCCATTCTGTGTTTTTGTGTTCATCATTGATTGACACCGGATGGGCCAGAAGCACAGCAGTGAATTATTAAAAAATTTTTCCTTTTGTGTTACAAAGAAGAAAAGGCAGAATTGTAAGCAAGTAAAAAAAAATAAATAAATAACGTTTTTTTTTGTTATTTTATGTGTTGATCTTTAATGTTAAATTGAATAAATACTTTATTCCCTTTAATTATTCCATATTTATTCAATATGAGCATCATCATCAATAACACCATTTTATATAGTGCATATACATTCACCGATTACTTTATTAGGTACAACTGCTCGTTAACGCAAATTTCTAATCAGCCAATACCATGGCAGCAACTCAACTCATCTAGGCATGTAGACATGGTCAAGAAGATCTGCTGCAGTTCAAACCAAGCATCAGAATGGGATAGAAAGATGGTGGTGGTGTAATGGTGTAGGGGTCATTTTTTTGGCACCCTTTATGACCACAGTGTACCCATCTTCTGATGTCTACTTGCAGCAGGATAATGCGTCATGTCATAAAGCACAAATATTCTCAGACTGGTTTCTTGAATATGACAATAAGTTCACTGTACTCAAATGGCCTCCACAGTCACCAGAACTCTACCCACTAGAGAACCTTTGGGATGTGGTGAAACAGAAGATTCGCATCACGCAGTTGTCAAATCTGCAGCAACTGCGTGATGCTATCATGTCAATATGAACCAAAATCTCAGTGGAATATTTCCAGCATCTTGTTGAATTTATGCCATGAAGGATTAAGGCAGTTTTAAAGACAAAAGGGGATCCAGCAGGTATTAATATGGTGTACCTAATAAAGTGGCTGGTGAGTGTACATCTCCATTATATGCCGTTATATAGTAAAGACATTTAAATTGCTAAAAATAAAGTTTCAGATTAATGCATTTAAAATAAATCAGCTTTTCTCCATCAGGCAAATCAGTTATCAGAAAGATGTCTGAAGGATGTTGTGACCCTAAAGACTAGAGTAGTACTGAAAACATGCAAAAATTAAATTTTAAAACATAATAACATTAAAAACAGCAATTTTAACAGTAAAAAAATTGACATAATCGCTGTTTTCTATATTTAGGATGAAAATAAACACATTACTGCTGAGCATAAGAGACTTTCAACAATGTTTAAAGGGCAGTGTATAGACTATATACAGTATGAAATCGTACAAAGCCACTGAATACCATATTTTAATATTACTCAGCGTTGATTTGAATAAGACGTGGGCTAAAAAAGTGGTTCCAGCACCCCTGCTGTTTCTCTCAATGCACCGTTAGAAGAACCCGAAGCTCATAATTCTGTGACAACTGTGACGACCACGCAACCAAAGATTAAAACAAACAACACAAATTCCAACAGCAGCATCGCATTTCAACACCCACTAATAAAAAGGCCATTCCAGATCACCAACTGAAAGCGCTTGCTCTGAATTAAAGACTTTCCTGCTGCGAGTTTTCTTTCACACAACCAAAAGTGAGGCTTTCAATGTTGCACATATCAATTTGTGAAGTTTGCTAGTTGTGAAAACTTAATTAACGCACTTTAAACACTAACTACACACTAACTACCGTCTGACGTCTTTGAAACTTAGATGCTAATTTGCAGGGGAGTTAGTCACAATAAATACCCAAAGAAGTCCAGCATATGGAGCCACAAGACATCTTTCTACGTTACAGTCTGCAGATGATAAACATTTATAGGCATTCAGCGCATTTCTAGCCCCCGGCAGTGCAATGCTGCTTTGAATACACCAAACCTCAGGCGGCGAATAACCTTGTTTATGTAATTTATAAGCTAATAAGAGATGTGTGTCTTTGCTTTACTGTAATGGCCTTGCATTTCCCTCCAGCTGTAAAAAAGTTGCAGAAGCGTGCTGGGCTGCACTCTAAAACCCAATAAATATTTCCAGCCTCTGATGAAAAAAAAAAAAAAAATCATTTCCAGATTCACCACGGTGTCAGAATTTCTGTCGCTGCGTGTAATTTCATTTGGAAGTCGTCTGGTGAGCGAGAAAGAGAAGCCGGTTTCCAGTTGGGAGAGGGAAAAAAAAAGAACGGATTCTCTGTCGGATCAATCAAATGAAGATGTGGAGGGAGAGAGTGACGGAGCAGAACAAACCGATTATCCACAACACCACTCTAACATGTTAATGGAGCGACGAGTAAACAGGTACACAAGCTGGAGAAGAAAGTCTCACGCGCACGGAAATACGATTTTATTTAAAGACTTAAAAGTTGAAAGAGTCCAGGGATAAAGGGATTTTGACTTCCAAACTTTTTTCAGACTTGATTTGCAATTGGAATACATTTAGAAGAGACTTAATATCATTTATATAATGCACTGCAGGTGTCTTCAGAGTGTGTTTGTGAAGTTTAAGCTTAAAATGGACCAATTATGCCCCTTCTTATAAGATTTAAAACAAGTCTCTAATGTTCCTAGTGTGTGTGTGTGTGTGTGTGTGTGTGTGTGTGTGTGTGTGTGTGTGTGTGTGTGTGTGTGTGTGTGTGTGTGTGTGTGTGTGAAGTTTCAGCTCAAAATATTGCTCAGGTAATGTTTTAGAACTCTTTGAAAGTGCCACTGTTAGGCTTTGATTTTAATTGTGCCGTTTTGGTTAACTGGTGACTTTAAATTTAAATGAGATTGGGCTCTTTTTTAAAAGAGGGCGGGGCTACAAATGCCTATGTGTCAGCATAGTGGTAGATTCAATCAAGACTAACATTATTTCTGTGAAAATGTCAAAGGAAATGTCTCCACATTTTAAAGGCAGACGGTTGCTTCTCATTCAGGTTTGTCTATGCTAATGAGGGAGAGATTGTCACTAATTGGCAGGGATTTCCCCTCTGATGACATGTATAATGGGGAAATGACATTTAAAGTGTTTCTGCAGAGTGTTTGTGTGATAGAAAAATAACTAAATATTTTGAAAAGAATGAATGAATATTTAATATAGCTCTTTTAATGTAAATAGCACTCTTTAAATGCAAATGAGCTGCTTTTGTCCGCCCTCATTTACAAAAAAAGGGTGGAGCCTTTACAGTGCCTTGGGTGCTCCAGTGACAACAAACAAGACATTTGTATGTTTCTTTAAAGGGTATTTTATGTGCAAAAAATGCAGAAACAAACAAAAAAGTGCTTCTGTGGCAATTATTATGTCAGTGCTCTTGGATAAGGGATTTATAAAGATATACAAACATCATCAGTTCAAGTAAAAAACTTTAAGCTTCTTCAAAAACTTTTTCACTTTTACTTTTCGATTGCCTTGGACTGATGAATTTTTGTATTTTATATGCAGTTGAAGGCAAAGTCATCAGCTCTCTTATGACATTTTTTAAAATTTGTTTCAAATATTTCTTAAGTGACTTTTAACAGAGCAAAAACATGTTTAACAGTATTTCTTAGGTTGTTTATTTTTTTCTTCTGGAGATTTTTTTTCCCTCTTCTTCTAGTCATCTTTCTTTTAGTTTGGTTGAGATAAAGGCAGCTATTAAATTGTTTTTTGTAAAGTGGAGTGGAAACAGTGATTCAAGGGATGGAGATGATTGGGAGGCCAGGATGGTAAGGAACGATGGCGGAAATTTAGCCAGGACACCAGGGTTACACCCAGGGTTACCCCCTCTTTACGAGAAGTGCCATAGGATTTTTAATGTCCAAAGAGAGTCAGGACCTCGGTTTGTCTCATCCAAAAGACGATGCCCGCTGACAGTATAGCGTCCCCTTCATTATACTGGGGGTAGTGTAGTGAGTAGCCAATCCTGAGCTGCAGGGTGGCTGGTGATATGGTCATATATATATATATATATATATATATATATATATAGGTTATGCGGTGGAGCAGTGGGTAGCGCTGCCGCCTCACAGCAAGAAGGTCACTGGTTCGAGCTTTGGCTGTGTCAGTTGGCATTTCTGTGTGGAGTTTGTATGTTCTCACTGTGTTCGCTTTGGGTTTACTTGGTATATATATATATATATATATATATATATATATATATATATATATATATATATATATATATATATATATATATATAATGTATCTAAAGCTAATGTATTGAAATGTGTATTATAAAACACTATGCTTCAAAATTTATTTTGTTGATGCTGTGCTCAAAAAACGTTTCTTAGTATTGTATATAATAAGCTTTGAATTTTTTTTTATAAAACTCTTTATAGAGAAGTTTAATGTGTCCTTGCTAGTTAAAAGTATCTCTTTTTTAAAATAAAAACTTACTGACACCAACATTTTCAACTGCAGTGTATTTAATTATTCATCTTAAAACATTAAAGCTCTGCCTTGACCTTGACCATGCAGCACTGACCCAACATTTTATTACATGGCCTGTTTAAAAAAAAAATTCTACTACTAAATCATACCAAGTCCTTGCATTATTACAGGGTTTAAAAGTTATGCAAATACCAAATACAATATACGACAGAAAATGAACCACAGAACATGCTAAATTGCAGGTCTGCTATGCAAACCAATGACAATCTGCACAAGCAAAGTGGTTGCTGTCAAGGTTTGTCATTTGAAAATGAGTCAGTTCACAGGAGTGGAGTTTGTGTGTTTGTGTGTGTTTTGGTTTACATACCGGAGGATCCTGATCTTCTGCTAGTACAGTTGTGATGACTGTTCCCTTCTCTGCATTTGGAGCCACCAGTCCTTTATAAAGAGCCTGTCTGAAAACCGGCGAGAAATCATTCATATCCTGAAAGAGAGACACAAACAGGGGTAAAATATGTATTAATACCACTCATTAACACCCCAGTGAGGTAAGCAGGGCTATCGGCAAAGTGATTCTGCATAATCTGCTTTAAAGAGGACTCAATAATAAAAGACGTTAAATTAGCGTACAGATTCTGCTGCCTTTTACCAGTGTTCAATGCCACAATCAACCAACACTTTCAATCTCTTTTAAATTCACAATGTCACAAAGGCACAATGGCTCAGTGGTTAGCACTGTCACCTCACAACAAGAAGGTCGCTGGTTCGAGTCCTGGCTGGGCCAGTTGGCATTTTCTCTGTGGAGTTTGCATGTTCTCCCCATGTTGGTGTGGGTTTCCTCTGGGTGCTCCGGTTCCCCCCACAGTCCAAACACAAGCGCTATAGGCGAATGGGATGAACTAAATTGACCGTAGTGTATAAGAGTGTGTAAATGTGAAATTTTATGGGTGTTTCCCAGTGCTGGGTTGTGGCTGGAAGGACACCCACTGCATAAAACATGTGCTGGAATAGTTGGCGGTTCATTCTGCTGTGGCAACCCTTGAAAATAAGGGACTAAGCTGAAGGAAAATGAATGAATGAAAAATATTTATATGCAGCCTGTTATTGTAGACACTTCATCAGTGCTTGCTGTATCTATGAAAAATACCAGAATGCCCTTTTTCATTTCCTCAAAAACATGTCACATAACCCTGATAAAATATGTTGGAAAAAGCCACTTCTTTTTACTTTTCAAGGTTTTATACATTAATAAACAAGTAGCACTTTAGTAGTAAGCAGTACTTTCAACACAAGATATTTACTGCCTGCATATACTTGCTCAAAAATATGTCACTTAACCTCCAGGAAATAGGTTTCAAAGCTATTTATTTATACTGTGTACATGTAGTATTTCAAACAATTTTTTCAGACATTTTATACATTAATGTATAATTAATAGTTTGAATTAAATAGTACTTGTGACACAACTACTGTACATTTTAAAATTACACACACACGCAGACACACACAAACACTTTTTAAATATATTATTTATAGTTTCCATAGAGCATATACATTCTAAGCCTAGCATCTCTTATTAAGTCTTGCAAAATATATACTGCACATATAAATAGCACACTGTCATTGTTGTCATTATTATTATTATTATTATTATTATTAATATTAATAATAATAATAATAATAATAAAACATTTTAGAATACGTAAATGTAACTTTAATTCATATGTATTATATAATGAATAGAAACAGCCTTCTAAACATAATGAATTATAGAATAATTACATCTTGAACAGTATCATTGAACATCACAATATTAGAATAACGTATCAAATTCTTAACACTCCAAACTGATGTACTCATGCTGTGTTTGCCAAATTCTACTTTGCAAAACAGAAATAAATCGCCTTTCAAAAAATAAATTCAAACAAAAGCAGTTTTTTCTAAATGCAAATATGCATAATACATTTTTAAAAAAACTATATAACTAACTGTATACTAATTTTACACCTCATTTTGAAAATGAATATTTTTTATGCATTTCTCAGTGAATATATTTTGATGCATTTGAACAAAACTGATTTATTAAACAGATATATTTATTAAAATAATATTTTATTCATTAAAAATCGTTAGAAATATAAAGATATCTATATTTATATTTTTTCCTTTCTTTTTATTCTTTTTTTTCATTGTTATTTAATATTTTTACCTAACATAAAATAATATTACATTTATTTATTTGTATAATTATTTATTGTAAATTATTTTGTTAGAAAAGCTCCAGATTGGCTTCAGTACTGGGTAATCTAATGTATATGCACAAATATAATATTTTATAGCTTCCTACATGAGATATGTACTCATATATGTTGAGCACTGTATATACACACTCACCGGCCACTTTATTAGGTACACCTGTCATACTTCTAGTTTCCAGTCAGCAAATCATTTGACAGTAACTCAATGCATTTAGGCATGTAGACATGGTCAAGACGATCTGCTGCAGTTCAAACCAAGCATCAGAATGGAGAAGAAAGGTGATTTAAGTGACTTTGAACATGGCATGGTAGTTGCTGCCAGAAGGGCTGAGTATTTCAGAAACTGCTAATCCACTGGGATTTTCATGTACAAGGTTTATAGAGAATGGTCCGAAAAAGAGAAAATCTCCAAAGAGCGGCTGTTCTGTGGGCACAAATGCCTTGTTGATGCCAGACGTCAGAGGAGAACGGCCAGACTGGTTCCAGCTGATAGAAAGGCAACGGTAACTCAAATGACCCCTCAATACAACTGAGATATGCAGAAGAGCATCTCTGAATGCACAACATGTCGGACCTTTCATCTGAAACATTTGGATGGGAGGGTTAGAATTTGACGTCAACAACATAAAAGCATGGACACATCCTGTCTTGTATCAACAGTTTAGGCTGGTGGTGTAAAGGTATGGGGATATTTTTTTAGCACACTTTAGGCCCATTTGTACCAACCGAGCATCATGTCAAAGCCACAGCCTACCTGAGTATTGTTGCTGACCATGTCCATCTCTTTGTGACCACAGTGGCTACTTCCAGCAGGATAGCGTGCCATGTCATGAAGCGTGAATCATCTCAGACTGGTTTCTTCAACATGACAATGAGTTCAATGTACTCAAATGGCCTCCACAGTCACAAGATCTCAATCCAATGGAGCACCTTTGGGATCTGGTGCAATGAGAGATTCGCTTCATGGATGTGCAGTCAACAAATCTGTAGTGACTGCGTGATGCTATCATGTCAATATGGACCAAAATCTCTGAGGAATATTTCCATTACCTTGTTGAATATGCCATGAAGCATTAAGGCAGTTATGACCGCAAAATGGGGTCAAACCCGGTACTCCTAAGCTGTACCTAACAAAGTGGCTGATGAGTGTAGATACACACAGATTATACCGATATCATGCAGCTCTCTAGGTTTTCAAACCAAACCTCTTTGAGATATGAAGGTTTAAATAAAAACCCATTTATATTCAGCATCTCTTCATTTTGAGAAGCCCACCTGAAAAGCACTTTATACAGTAACCTCTAACCCCAGCATGAGCTCAAGAGGCTGAAACTATAGGGGAACAGACATGGATCTCAATGCAGCCGATGGGGCAAGGATCAAAACAGCTGTTCACAGGGGTCAAGTGAATGTTCTTAGGGGTCTCGGAAGCAGACGGATGTTTCACACGCTGCCTAATAGTCTGGAGAAAAGCATATTTCCCTGCAAGACTTTCCAAATCTCCCATGAGCCTGTCGATGATGACTCTGCCCTGACATTAATAATATTGCCTTCTCCTCAGCTCAAGCATTATTACACTCTTTTTGACACCATCTCTACTGCTGTAAAACCAACAGGGTGCATACTTTGCTGAGTTGAAGGTAAACATCACTGAGAGAACAAAGAAACTCAGAGATGCAAGACACTTCTGAAGATTGCAGCACAATTACAATTTACCTGAAATAAAACACTTGATGCACACTGCATGTACGTCTCCTGGGGTTTCATTTAGCCTAATAAAAAAAGATGGCATGATCTAGGAACTCAAGTTATAATAATAAGGAAAAACAACCTTTAAGAACTATTCTGCAATAAAATAAAATAAAATAAAATAAAATAAAATAAAATAAAATAAAATAAAATAAAATAAAATAAAATAAAATATTGAAGAATGAAATTACTAACTGGCAACAAATGAGATCTAAAACGGAACAAAAACTATAATAAATAAATAAAATAATATACAAAGATTTTATTTATTTAAATAAATAACAAAAAAGAGAGAATAGCACATATTAAAATTAAATGAAAAAAAAAACTAGATGTAAAAAACATAATTACAAAATTAATAAAAACGATAAAATACTGGGTCCCACTTTATATTAAGTGTCCTTAACTACTATGTACTTGCATCACAAAATAAATACAATGTACTTACTGTGTTTATAATGTATTTGAGAACACTTGTGGTGCTTTTAAGTTGGGATAGAGGTTGGGTTATGGACAGGTTTGGTGGGATGGTCAACAGTGTATTTACAAATGTAATTACAAAGGTTAATTACAGATGTAATTACATACATGTATTTAATCAAGCATAAGTACACAATAAAAACATGTATTTACAAAAATAAGTACATTGTAACAAACTATTAGTTACTGTGTAAGTACATATTAGTTAATGCCACTTAATATAAAGTGGGACCAAATATTGTTATAAATATTAGCATATTTAAATAATTCTGGATAAACTGAAATAAAAAATAAATAAATAAATAAATAAAAATAAAACTATATAAATAAACTAAATAAACTACAAACATTATATAAATGTAATATTATTAAAATGAGCAATACAATAATAAAATTGTCCTCATAAATGTTAGCAGATTTATCTTTTTTGGATTTTAAAAAATAATATCACAATAAACTAAAACTAATAAAATAAATAAAACATCATTACAAATATTTAAACAAATCTGTACTACGAACAAGAGAAAAGGAGAAAAGCACATATTAAAATTATAATTATTAATTTTAAATAAAATTATATCTAAAAATTAAAGAATAAAAAAAATCAATAAAAACAATAAAATGTCATCATAAACATCAGCACATTTAATCCATTACAGTTCAGAATAAAAAAGATAAAATAATGATTAAAAAATCTAATAAAATAATATATTGAAGAATTAAATGACTAACTAGCAATAACATGAGCTAAAAATTGAACTAAAACTATAATAAAATAAATGAAAAAAAATGTGCATGAAGCACTTAAAAAACTGGAAAGAGTTAAAACCTAAAACTGAGCTAAAACTAAAAAAAAATAAATGAAACATAACTGCAAATATTTAAACAACACTAAAAACTAAGAACACAAAAAGAAAAATGTACATTTTAAAAATTATAAACTGGATTTTATATACAATAAAAAAAAAAATTATCAATAAAAACAATAACAATTTCA